AGGCGGAAAAGCGACAAAAAGAGACAGGGTGCGAGGAAGGAATGCAGGGAGAGAGGGACGAGTCGCCAGTAAGCAAATGAGGGGTGCAGCGTTCAATCTGGGATGCGTGGGATGGACGCCCTTCCTCGGTTCAGTGGGAGGCGCTTGGAGCCAGGGGACAAAAGGCGAAATGAGACACAAGTGACAGCTCAAGCTGATTCCAAGGCAAGGTTGAAGGAGTAGCCATGAAGGCTCCGAACCGCCCCGGCACTGTGGGGCCGCGGCTGTTGTGAGCCAGCTCTGCACAAGCGCGATCCCTTGGCAACGGCCAATCGATTTGGAGTCGCGGGGTGATGGCGGCTGCATTTGCCGCGGCTGTGGGTGCACTGAATGGGTCGGGGCAGCGCCCTCGTGTAGCATTGCAGCACCTTCGTCCTCTTTGCGAGGCCTTGACGCCTCGCAGGCCCTGTGGAACCCCCAAAATCCCACGCCTCACCCTGGCCCATCGCCGCCATGTCTGCATCTGACGGCTCCGCCTCCGACGCCCCCGCCCCTCGGACGCCGCCCGCATCCCCGCCGCCCTCACCCGCCGCCCGCCCCGACGGCCCCGCGCCGCCGCCCGACGCCGCTCGCTGCTGCGGCCGCTGGCCCGGCTGCTGCTGCTGCTGCTGCTGCTGCCCCTGCTGCCCGGGCCCCTGCCCATGCCCCTGCCGCTGCTGCTGCGTGCGGGCCTGCGCTGCGATGACGTGGCTGGAGTGCGTGTTGACATCAGCAACGATGTCACGTGACAAGGACTTGAAGCCCTGGACGCTGCCCTGTGGTTTTGCATGAGTTATGTTGGGCCCAGAGTACAAAGAAACGTGTCAGCGCATAGGCGGTGGCAGGCTCGAGTACATGAGGAGCGTGAAGGGCCCAGCTTAGCAGGCAGCCGATGCAGGGGCCGGCGGCACAGGAGCTGCGGCGCTGCCAGCACCATGCAGAGCGGAAGGGCTTAAGGCCGCCGGGCCCCATCGCGGCCCCGCTCACCGCCTCGTCCCGCGCGGTGTTGTGGAGGAGGCCGTAGCCGCCCCCAAGGGCGTCGCCCTGGTCTGCTCCCAGGTCCAGCGCAGGGTTTGCCGTGCGGGGCGCGGCCCGCTGCTGCGAGCCCTGCGCAGCAACGGGCCGCGAGGGGCCGGAGAATGCAACGACAGTGCCGGGTTGCAGGATCAGGATTGTCACAGCGTCCCGCGGTCGCCCGCTCCTGGAGCCATCCAGGCTCATGGGATTACAGGAAAGGGGGTAAGTATCATAATATGTCGAAGCGGCTCCACTCCCACAGGGCAGGAGGCCGATGCTGCGGCGGAGCGCAAGCCCTGCCGAAGCGCCGCGATCCTCGCGCGAACGCCCGTTTCGCTTGCAACCTCGGCCGCGCGGCGCCCGCAACCTCGGGCGTCGCACCTCGTCGTCGTCCCTGAACATCGCCGCCTCCTCTTCGATGGCGCGGTCGTCATCCAGATCCATCGGCCCCGGCCCGCCCTCGCCGCCGCCGCCGCCGCCCGCTTCGCCGCCAGCGACCGGCTGCTGCCGCCGCTCGACCTCCACTAGCTTCTTGTGGCGCTTTTTCTGCAACAAATTTAGCATGTTGCCCGCAAGGATTGTCGCGTGGCGGGTTGCGAGGCGCGGCGCCCGCTAGAGGGGCGCCCACGCCGGGCACGGGGTGCGCTTGGCTGGGAGGAAATCAGCCCGGCTGCTGCAGACGCCCCTCCACCAGCAAGCGCACGCACCCAAACCCAGGCTGCGCGATCTGCAGCAGGGCCGGGCCCATGGTGGGTGAGGGGTGGGGGGCCAGGGTCGGCCCCACCCCGCAGAACCGGCCTCGCGAGGCGGCTCCGCGGGCGACGCTTCATCCGGCATCCATCCGCGCCGCACCTTTTTGGCCATTTCGTACCGAAAGTAGCGCTCCCAAAACTCCTTCTCGGTCATGTTGGGGCCGACCTGGATAAGAGGGGTGGCATGAGCGGCTGTTTACGCTGGGGGTGGGTGGCCTGGGCCGAGTCCATGCGACCTGCATAAAGCACGTTTGTGCGGTGAGCTTGGTCAGGCATGACACAGACACACACGCACACACACACCACACACACACATGCAAACGCACAAACACAAATGTGCACACACAAATGTGCACACACAAATGCGCGCGCGCACACAAACACACCACGCACATGCGCACCTACACACACACATATACACAGCACGCACGCACACACACACACACACACACACACACACACACACACACACACACACCTGCGCCAGGTATGCCCTCTTGATGTGCGGCTTCTCCTCCAATATCTGCGCCATCTCGTCCCGCGTGATGCTGAACGTCAGCCGATTCAGGCCGCCGTGGGCCGAGGCCTGCACAAACACCGCCTGGTTGGGGATGCCCAGCTGCAGGGGTTGGGGCAGGGGCGCGGGGGCGGGGAGAGCCAGGCGTTTTGGATGGCGACCAAGAGGGGCCCCTGCGTATGGACCTTATGGGGGGCGGCACGTGCTGCGCGATGCTATTGTCGTGCCATGCCTCTGAGCACGCTGCGTCTGCCCCAGGGCGGACCGCCGTCGCAGCGTTCGCTCGAGGGCAAGTGGGGGGTCACAGAGGGCGGTCACCTTTTGGGGCGGGTCTGCATGGCACGGCAGCTGCGCGGTCTTGCGGACCGCCGGTGACCTCCAAAACTCCGCCTCGCTGATGGTCTGGCTCCTGACTAATCGCTCGTACTGGGTTGCCAGGTAGCTGCAAGAAAGGCGTTTCGTGTGAGGTGGGTTCAAGGCGTGCAGAGGGTTGGAGGTTGATTGGATCAGCAGAGACTGTCCAGGCAGCAGAGCAGGTCGCCAGCTGCCAAGAGTGCGTCGACAGCTGCCCAAACACATGTGGGTGGCGCACACCTGTTTGAGTTGAGCAGCCGCTGCCGCTCCTCTTCAGAGGGCATCGCCAGCGCCCCCGCGCCGCCCCCGCCCTTCGCGGCGGCCCCAGCAGTGCTGGGCGTGCGCGCC